CGACCTAGCTGCCCGTGCTGCCGGAGGACCTGGTGGGGTGGCTTCTTCACTCTGTGGGGGCACTGCCACCACTAGAGGTGGAACTGGGCCACATGGCTAGGAAGGGGCAGCGCTGGAGCAGAAACTCAGGTCCCAGCTACAACCCACGTGCTTTACTTCTTGTTCAGATTTCAAATAAACAGCACAGTTTGCCGACTCCCTTCCCTCCTGCTCACCCAGGTCCCACAGGGTTCAGAAGTCTTTCAAACCCCCCGAGATAGTAATGACTTCAGGCAAACTGTGCTTATTCATCCCCACCCTTCTCCCATTTCCTTTCCTTCTCTTTACTTTTTCTCTCTTCATCCCCTGCCGTCTCTCCATCTCTCTCTCTGTCACCCTTCCTATCTGACTCTCTCTCCCCCTCCCCTGGTCTCTCTGTCTCTCCCTCTGTTTCTCTGTCTCTCTGTCTCTCCATCTTTGTCTCTCTTCCTAGCTGATTTCTCCCTCAACCCCCCATCTCTCTTTCCCGGTCTCTCTGTGACTCAGTCTGTCTCTCTGTCTCTCCTTCTCTACCTTCTCTCTGTGTTTCTCTCACAGGCACACACCCACCTCACTCAGACCACTAATCCCCCTGGCGTCCCTTTTCTCTGTCTCCATCTCTGCTCCCACCCCCTGCAGCAACTTCCTATCTCTCCTCTGCCACATCCTGCCTCTCAGCAGCGGTTCTCCTTTCTCCTTTCCTCGCTGCATTTCCGGGGTCTATTTTTGCAGCTTTGTCTTTGCATCTCCCTCCTGTGTTTCTGCATTGCCCTCATTTCCCTTCCCCCCTTGCCGTATGCTCCCCAGGCACCTCTGTCCCAGGCCCAATTCCTGCAGGAGCCCCTCTTTTAAGCTTCCCCCACCCCTTGCTCAGCAGCCAGAGAGGAGGGGAATCCTGGTTGGTGGGGACACTGTTTCATCTTTGTTGCTAACAGCAGTGCTAATGGCTGAGTGATGAGGGACAGAAGGAGAGAAAATACAACCCGGGCTGAAAACACCAGGGTATGTGTCTCAAAGCCAATTGTTGATTAACAACACTCAACACTGCACCATTTTCAACCCACGAAGTTAATTTAAGAAAAAACAATGACACCCAGACTTGACTGGGCTGCATTAAAATGAGGTTATTCGCGCTGCCGATGGCATTACAAATGGGCTCGACTCTTTTGGAAAGCAATATAGCCTCATCGATATCAAAAGTCATCAAAATGTTCATACTCCTTTGACCAACTAATCTCCCTTCTGGGAATTTTTCCAAACAATTATTCATCATCACAGGAACAGGGAGGAAAAGCTACAAGCACACAGATATTCACCATGGCATACTCTATTGAAGAAGAAAGGCTAGAAAAGGCCTTACTATCTAACCAAAGGGAGACAGTTTCATAATACGGTGCAAAGACTATCAGGAAGACACTAAAAGCACTGATTGTAAAGACTGTGCAAAGCATGATCTATGCTGAGGACAGCAGAGGAAACAAGAAAAAGGAGCCTGTGTGTTCACACTGTAATGACATAAAAATATGTGCACATATGGACAAAAACCAAGAGGACAACTACAATAGAAAAGCAATACAAGAAACTCTCGGTAGCCAAATCCATTCAGCTCCTGAGTCCAGATGCGGAAGGGTAGAGTTTGGAATAGCAAGTAGCACCCATTCTGAAAGTGCGGAATTAATCTGAAGATTTGTCCAAATCTATTCAGCTAGTGTGGGTTTAGGTAGGATAGGATGTTCATGGTTATGCTAAGGTGGTAAAATTGAAAAAAAAAAAAAAAAAAAAAAAAAAAAAAAAAAAAAGATTTTTCTTACTTTTTAAAATTCTCTTTAATGTTCCTTTGATACTGATTTCACAATTAAACAAAGTGAAATCAAGGCTCTCGGGTTCAGTGCTTTAGAGCGGACAAAAGGCTTTCTTATATATAATCTTACTTGATCCTCACAAAATCTCAGGAAGGAAAAGAAGGTAGGGCAGGGAGTTTCACTGACCCCATTTTCACTGAGATGAAAATTTGGAATCAGAAAGGAAGGGTGATTTCCTCCATGTCACACACGTGGTGTCAGAGATGGGACTCAAACCAGGTCTTCCAGGAAGATCCCGGGTCCCACACAGAGCCCTCTAGGCCCATCCTCACTGGACTCTGTGAAGCCAACACCAGACAACAGCGCTCCAGCCCCTTGGATGTCTCTAACCACAACTGTCTGCCCCTGTGACACCTGACACAGCTCCAGGCCATGTTGCACATTAGCCCCCAGGGCTGCCAGCAGAGCCTCTGAAAGGTAACATCCCTGACCTGCAATTGACCCAATGCGACGTTCCACACATGGTTCAGGACTGAACCACAAGCAAAAACCTCCACCACTGTCACTCACCTACGCCTGCAGCCAAATGAGGACGACAGCAGAAACGCACATGCTGAGGCTGTGCAGGCAGCCTCTCCACGTTCAAATACCGACTCCTGCCCTCACTGGCTGTGCTGAATCACTTTGAGCCCCAACAGGACCAATCAGTAAAATAGGAATGATAGCAGAGCTCCAACCCCTTAGGGATACTGAATAAAAGGGGATGGTGTGTGTCATGCATTCAGTGTCCAGCCAGAGCCAGCGCTCCGCTGAGCCTCTTGCTCCCACCCCGTGTTCTTCCTTGGGCCTTGGCTCTTGCTCCCTGTCTGGAACATTCTACCCAGATATCCATCCAGGTGGCTCACCCTTTACTTCTTTCCATCTCAGCTCAAGTCTTCTCCTGGCTGAGCTTACCTGTTCACATTCCTAAACCCTTGCCCTGCTTTGGTCATCTTCCTGGCCTTGCCCACACCCATGTATTCATCAGGGTAGTGTCAGCCCTCCCCGCAGCCACCGCCATGAGAACAGGGACTGTGGTTACTGTAGAGCTGTATTCTCAGCACATAGCAGGAGCTCAGGAAATGTTGAACTCATTAATTAATGAGTGGTGGTGATTTTTCCTGAGGAACAGGAACCTTTAGCCACACTTAACTAAGGGCCAATTCGGCCTTTACAGCCCTCAAGGGGCATCAGACTCCCCGGGACACTGTAGGCCTCTGGCCAGGCCACCTCGGCATCCATGAGATCCATGCCCTCTCTGCTTCCCTGCCCATTCCGCAGGGACCCAAAGGGCACTGGACCAAAGGCTGGCACTGAGAAAATATCAAGAATCCTGCTGCCCAGAAACATGACAAATCACCTTGCCACAGGCAGGAACTAAACATTTCAGCACATCGCTGGATTCTGGAGCCCCTGGAGGAAGCCAAAGCCCAATTCCTAGTGCTGGATGGCTGGGGAAGTCCCTTAGGTCTCTCCCGCCTCATGACTCCTCCTGCCAGGAGGACTCAACCAGCCAGGAAGGTAACATCCTGCAGGAAACTCTCCTGTGCTGGGCACTTTACACACATCACAGATGGGCTTTCCCCACTCCCTGAGCAAGGCTGCAGTGCCATTTCAGAGAAGAGGATGAAGGCTCCAAAAACCCAGATGAGTAAGTCAATGCCACTCCAGGGACTGGGTCCAGGGGAAATGGCAACCAGATGGGTCATTGGTAAAAACATGTACAGGGTCCCAACGCATACCAAAGGGCTTCCAGACTTCCAGGTCAGTGGCATTTGGAATGGGATACTCAAAAATGAGCCCTCTAATGCTCGTCCCCCACCTAAGCCCCTGCATCTCACCATAGACATTAGAAAGCATGACCCTGCCAGCGGTGTGGAAGCCTATTCTTTGCCTTGGGGACCACAAGCCTTTGCAAGTAAGGTCCCTTCTACAGGGAACAAGCACCACTTTACTCGGCTGACTACAGTTCCCTCCCCAGGTGTCCACTAAGATCTTACTTCCTCCAGGAAGCCTTCCCTGACTCCTCAAGTCAGCCACCAAAAGCCCTGTGCCTAAGAATGAGACTAGGACATAGCAGACGCTCAATAAACTGAAAAATGAATGAATGAATGACAAAGAATGAATAAAGAGAATAAATGAAAGCAATGAACTGAAACAGAATGAATGAAGCATGAATGAAACATGCAAGAATTACTGAGAGGCCGGCTCTCTGTGACTGCCCAGAGTCAGAAGTCAAAGTCAACTATAAAAGGACAGTAGTATGCACCTAGCTTTACAGTCTCACCTCATTGCCATGCAGGTCTTTATTCCTTGTCCCTCAAGATTACATTGGGTCTTACCCTGGCTACTGTGGCTCAGCTAGATGGAGCTTCATCCCATATATCAAAAGGTGGCAGGTTCGATTCTTGGTCAGGGCACATACCCAGATGGTGGGTTCAATCCCCAGTGGGGCGTGTGCGAGAGGCAACAGATCGATGTTTCTCTCTCTCTTTCACAAAGGTGCTCTCTTTCTCCCTTCCTCTCTCTAAATCAGTAAAATAAAATAAAATGTCCCAGGGTGAGGATTTTTAAAATATTACATAAAAAAGAAAAGATCACACTGGGTCTTAAGACAACAGAGTGAGTCAAAGGCAAGGCGAGAGTTCCCAGAATGGGTGTGGAGGCTCCATGCTGGGGCTGGGATACAGCGAGGGAAGATGATGATCCCTGGGGTAGAGGGGGCCACCAAGGGGAAAGAACTGCTTATCACCCTTACAGCAATCCCAGGAGATTTCCCACTGTCCTGCTGGAGAGAACCAGACACATGATCAATACACCAATAGCTAACACAGCAGTCCCTCTGTGTATCAGGCCCTTTTCCAAGCACTTTACACCCATTACCTCATTCAATCCTCAAAACAACCCTATTAGGTAGACAGTATTATCTCCACTTTCGAGGTTGGGAAACTGAGGCATAGAGACTCTGAATAAGTGGCCCAAGGTCACACACCTAGTAAGTGGAGGACCGGGAATTAAAACTCATGCAGACCGATTTGAGAATCTGAACTCTTAATCACTATGGTTAATGTCACTCGCTTTCAAGTGCTTTGGTCATATAGCCAATAATAATAATAATGATGATGATGAAAATAATAGTAATACAGCTCTCACATTTTTTTGTATAAAGGTCATAGTACCAAAGACAGTTATAATACACAGGGCAGACTAAAGGCCCCTCCAGATTTGTACAGAAGGGCTGGGGCAGCAACTCAATGAAACAAGGAATACAGGCAGATTGTCTAACAACTCTTGGCAGAACAGCCCATTTTTTATTTACTAAGTGTGTCAATGCAGGTGGGGTGGCCATACAGTGATGCTAGGGCTAAGCCCTCCCAAAACTACTGTTTGGTACCATTCAATCTTCGGATCCAGTCACCAAGCTAATCATTTCATAGATTTCCTCCTTTGGTCCTCACGTGGACCCTCCGAAGAAGTGGAAGAATGCCCCCGGTTTGCAGATGAAGCAAGCTGAGGCCCAGAGAACACTGACTTGCCCAAGATCACATGGCTAGGAAGTGCCATTTGAACTCAGCCTCTCTCTGACCTTCAAACCCAGGCCCTTGACCTCTGCTTCCTTGGCCTCCGAGAGGAGGAACTGCCCGGAAGCTAAGTGTATGGACAAGCCTGTCTGCCTGCCCATTCCCGCCAAGTCGGCTCCCTTGGCCTGCCACAGGCCCCAGAACCCCACACTTCAAAGTGATTCACCCTCGAGGACTGTGTGGTTTGGTCTGGACCTTAGGGGTGGAGGAGTCAGTGCCATGCTCACCCCTGACCACCCAGGTTTGAGCCGGCCTCCCCGGGACCTCAGGAATCCAGGTGCAGCTCTCATTAACCACCCAGGGGAAAAGGCCCTCCTCGGAGATGCCCACCAGCGCTCAGGAAGTTGGGTTTGGGCTGAGATGCTGAGGGGATAGAGGTGCCCCAAATCAGTGTCCGCCAACCCCTTCCTCCACCCAGCTGCTTAGCAAGTATTACCTCCTTGTTCCCAGCAGGCCTGGACCCCCCACAGGTTGGAGGCCAGCCTCAGCCCAGCAGGAGCCCCTTCTGTTTCTGCAAGGCCTGGTGCATGGAGGAATGCAGCTGCTTCAGCTGCCCCAGCCTCATGTCCCATTCTCCCTCCAGAACACTTCTCTTGTCTGCTCAGGGGCCCCCAACTCAGTCATCTCCTGCCTTATGTCCTGGAACCCCAGGAGGCTGGGGGAACACTGGAATGTGCGATGCCTGAGGTCAGAGCCCGAGTTTGATTTAAGTTGGGTTGAGATGAGGGGAAAATGGCCAAGAACAACTCGCTCATTTACTTCATTTCCAGACTTAGCGGCTGCCAGGGCTGGGCTTCCAAACCAAGCTGGCTTTGGCCAGGACATCTGCAGCAGTGCCAGCCACAAGGCACATCTGGATCCGCTTAGGGAGTTAAGAGCCATAAAGTTCCCTTAAGAAATTAGTTCCTGGGGAGCCTGGGTCTCTCTGGGGACGGGTGAGAGGCCTCCTTGGGCTAAGGACACCTGGAAACTGTCTGACTGGAGGTGGGGGACTTCCTGGTCTTGGAACCGCCCTGTACATTCAAATGCAAAATGGCTCAGGAGGCCACACAGGCCCAGCCCTGGCACTTCCTGGCTGTGTGGCCTTTGGCATCTCCCCTGACTTCTCACTTCACCCCTCGTGGAGGACAGTGAACTCCAGTAAGGACTCAGTGCAACTTCCTAACTTGCCACTGTGTCTTGGAGCCTAGATCATATCTGGCCCGATTGAGGTAAATGAGAGAAGAAACACAAGGATGAATGAATGAGCCTTGGTTTTCTCATCTGTCAGATGGGGATAATAATTATCTTCTTCCCAGGGCTGTTCTGAGCACTGGCTGGTAGAAAAGACGGAAGGCCCTGGAACAGTGTATGTATACCTGTCCCTTAATTTTTAATCACATATCTCACAACCAGGGTTGTGGGAACTTGAACATCCCTAAGAAAGCCCCACTGTGGTAGAACTGCCTCATCTTCTTCCCCTAAGCGCACTCATGAAAAGGCTGACATGTGACTCACTCTGATCAAGCAGATGACAAGTATACAAACCAATATGCAAAGGACACAGGGTGACAGCCTGGAGCATGACCTTCATTGAGCCCATCTCAGATGGCCATGCTCACACCTAATGCCTTATCACTCAGCAGCAGGCTCAGAGCAGCTAAGTGACTTAGTGAAGGAAGCATCTGGGACCAGATGAGACCCCAGGGCACCTACCTCCATAGGGTGGCACGAGCAACATAACCCCCAGCAACTTCTCTGGCCTCAACTTCCCCATCTGCATGGGGGGAATATTAAGAGTTCCTATTACATCAGGTTGTTTCTGAAATGGCACCCACATTATAATATCAAAAATTCTCAAAAAAGTATCTGGTATATTACATAAGTGTTCAGTAATTGTTAGCTCTTATTATTATTATTTCCAATGGGCTGTCTAAGCATACAGCTAAATAAATAAGCCTTCAGTTCCCACTGAGTCCAGAAGGACTAGAGACTGTGTTTAGAAATCACCTACAATCTTCTAAGCCCGAGATCTCCTGACTCCACCTGATAACCACCTGGGGAGAGATTGGACAATCTCTGGTGTCCCAAGATAATCAGCTACATTCCACAGGCACAGAAAATTGGCATTTCAATGGATAAGAATCAGGTACGTTATTATCAGCTTTCCACAATTAGAGTTGTAAAATAGCTCAAAGACAATGAGAGGCAGAAATAGCTCTGATGGGTGAGCCAGACAAAACACCCAGGAATCTTTTCCCACCCATTTCAAAGTCATTTACGATTTTTCTTGACAGACAAGATCTCACAAAAAGATGGATATAGACTGTACTACAGTCGGAAAATCTGAAACAGCTCCAATGTCTGTCACAGGAACGATTCTGGTACACACATGCTCTGCAGCGAGGACAGCAGATGCTGTCGTAATAAAAAATGATGCCTGGGCCCCACCACACATCCAATGAATCCCAACTTCTGGGTGGAGCCCAGGGATCAGTATATTATTTTTAGCTTCCAAGCGATTCTAATGCGCAGCCCAAATTGCTGCTAAACCCCACTAGAGAGAACTTCAGGGGCTGCCTGCAGGCAGGCCTGGCGGGAAGAGGATGAACCTGAACAGAACGTATGCCCAGGAGGGAACAGAGGAATAAGGAAGCTGAAAGCCAACCTAAGACAGACTAATGGCTGAGTAGCTAATTCCACACTTGATCCAGAAGCCACCTGGTGTCTTCCAGGCCTGGCCAGAACTTCCAAGCATTGGATCTTCCCAATATCTCCATAGTCTGCAGAAGTCTGATCAATGGTCCTTAACTAGCCAGGTCTGTGCATATGCCCTGAGTTCCACTCCTGACTCTGGACCAAGGGAAAGAAGAAATGGTTTTTACTGATGGAAGGAAGGGTGTCCATAACCAGGGAACCTTTCTTCATTAGAGTCAAGATGGAGCTTGACCTACACTCCCTTCAGGCTCCTTAAGGAGGCAGGTAGCTGTGGCAACCAACCCCAAAACCCTGGCCCAGGCTGGGGGCCACTAAGTGCACAGGGCTCCTGCACAGGCAGTTTTTGCTTCTCGCACCTCCCAGAACTCTTCTCCAGGCTGGCTAGTGATACTCCCCGATTGCTGTGACTTTTTCACCAAAACCCACTTTGCCAGAAGGAGGGTGGACCCTCACAAGGGAAGAACAGCTTCTACCAAGGGGGCCTCCAAGCTGATCTGGAGTGATTTGTGGAAAAGGATAATGTTGAAACACATCTGAAATTATTTCACCGACTTGTTTTCTTGCTTTCTGTAAAGTTACATAGGAGAGGGTATTAAGGGTAGCTGCTTTGTTCACCACCAAACCTCACATCTAGCAGAAAACCCCCCACATGATAAGAGTTCAATAAATATTAACGAATTCAGTAACTTTAAATAATTAAATATGTAACTGAGCTAAAAAGGATGCTACTTTACACAAGATTCCAATGGGAGTCAAAAGTTTAAGTAAAAATATAATGGACAGGAAACATGAAATGCAGACAATCCTATCTACAGCCTTAATTTCTGTCCTCTGATTTGAATAAAGATTGCCATTATTTGCCTGGGGAGATAATGTACTGCAGAAGAGACTGCAAAATTCTAGAAGCAGAGTTTGTAAATCACTTTGTTGTATAAATAGCAAAAGCCATATCATGACGCTGGCTGGAGGAAGGGATGCCTGAGTAAAGTCCCCAGACTTCGGAGGAGGCTGAACCCTGGGCTCGATCAGTGGGCCTTGATGGGCCAGTCGTTCCCAAAAACAGAGTAGGCAGCAGAGAAAGGGGAGGGGAGAACAGTCAGCCCCTAAGTTCATGGTAATTTGTTACAGAAGCCATAGAAAACTAGCACTCTTTCCTTCTGCACCCTCAGCTCAAGGGGGCCTGCCCTGGCTTCAGTATGGTCAAAACACACGCAGATGCTCCCAAAACTTCCTCTTTCATAATTATCTGTAACTGGTTAGGAGCTTGCACTCTGAAACCAAGCAGCCCCATTCAACTTCAGCATAGGCTGTGGAACCTTGGAAATGTTTCCCACCTTCTCTGTGCTGCCTTTTTTTCCATCCCTCACACAGGGCTACAAGGGCCTAACTTCTACAACTGCTGTGAGGCTGGAATGAGAGAACTCATACAGAGACAGGGCCTGTTACGCTCAACTAAGGGTTTGTCTCTATGACCTGTAGCCTTGGCAATACCTCAGGATTATGAAGAATGGAGACTATGTCTGTCTTGTCCATCACATATCCCCAGAGTCCAAACAGTGTGGGCTATGAGGCCTATGTGATATTTATCCCTCAAACACAAAGGTGTGAGTGATAAACCATGTGATTTATCATAAACCATGGTAAACTCCTGAAGAAAACCAATAGCCAAACCATAGCCCTGGGCTTCTCCTGGGTCCTTTCCATTGGCCCCCCAAATATTTCAAAGTGGACAAAGGGAGTACTGACCACAGCCAAAGCCTTCCTGTAAAACACCATGTCCAGCTTCAATCCTGGCCCTCAGACCAACACCACATTGGCCAACCTTCCCTCACCATGCTGCTGTGGTTGAGCCTTCCACAATAATGGCTGATGAGAGAACTCTGCATGACGCTAACAGAGCCCCACCTGTCTTTCCCCATTAATGTCTGAGCAAATCACATCCCTTCTAGTGCCTACTCATAGGGGAACTTATACCATTATGGGAATCCCCCTGCACAAGGTTCCCATAAAAGTAAAATGAGAAAAGGCAAATGAAGTGTCAGTGCCTGGCATACAGGTAGCACTCCATAAATGCTAGTGAGATCGAGTGTAATCATTTTATCCCATAACATATATGAAATAACACACAACAGAACTAATTAATTAGGGGAGAACAGGACAACAGAAAGAGTCAGGTCAGGGCTCTGGATGGACTCAAAGATTTGAAGTTGAATGAGTTTGGGTAAGTTGCTTAACCCCCTGAACCAGTTTCCTCACCTATAAAAGGTAGGTACTATTAACTGCCCCAAAGGAGTATTACAACACAATGAAATAGTGCATAGAGTTATTCTCATATCAGAATCACTTCAGGGGCCGTTTGAAAAAGGCCAGTGCCCACACCTGGCCTAGACCAATGCAATCAGCATCCTCAGGCTGGGCTCTGAGCATCAAGGATAATGAAGGTCACCAAGGTGATTCCATAGTACAACAAAGCAGAGAAACATGAATACTAAGCCGGGATCAGTTTGGCTCAATGGCTAGAGCGATGGCTTGGGGACTGAAAGGTCACGGGTTCGATTCCGGTCAAGGGCATGTACCTTGGTTGCGGGCATATCCCCAGTAGGGGGTGTGCAAGAGGCAGCTGATTGATGACTCTCCCTCATCGATGTTTCTAACTCTCTATCTCTCTCTCTTCCTCTCTGTACAAAATCAATAAAATATAAAAATAAATAAATAAACATGGATACTGATATGGAGCTGGCACATAATAGGTGCTCAGGAAACCCAAGCTTTCATCAACTGACAAGGATTTTCTTTCACTCATTCAACACACATTTGTAGAATGCCTAGTATATGCAAATTCACAGGTTTATAAACCCTATGCTGGTTGCTGGGGGAGGGGGGTAAGGGTTGGGAGTAACTGTTAATGGGTATGGGGTTTCATTTTGGGGTGACAAAATATTTTGGAACTTGAAAGAGATGGTGGTTGTACAACATTGTGAATGTATTAAATACCACTGAATTGTGCACTTTAAAACGGTTGATGTTACCGTGTTTCCCTGAAAATAAGACATCCTCTGAAAATAAGACCTACTTACAGGTTTCCTTCTGAGTGAAATATAAGGCATCCTCCGAAAATAAGCCCCCCCTCCCCAGGCTCTGTCTCAGAATGCTATTGTTAAACATGAGAGATATGGTCCACTGATTCTGAAAGAAATGGAGTCACAAGAAATTCACCAGGAAATTCAGGAATTGGATTGTTATGATGATGTTCCATAAGATGACATGATTGTCATTGAATAAATGAGTAAATTCTTGATACTGGAGGATTCACAGTTTGTCTGGTTTGTGTTGACAACTACCGTACTACCGTACCATATACAGGTAATAAATTTCCTTTATTTTCATTTAACAATAAATCTGTACTGTATTCTTCATGGAAAAATAAGACATCCCCTGAAAATAAGACCTAGCGCATCTCTGGGAGCAAAAATTAATATAAGACACTGTCTAATTTTCAGGGAAACAGGGTATATTACATGAATCTCACCTCAATAAATAAAAGAAAAAATCATAATCCACCCATAAAAGTAAAGTACAAACACTGTATGATTCTACTTTTACGAGGTCCCTAGAGCAGTCAAATTCAGAGGGACAGAAGTAGACTGTGGGTGCTAAGGGTTGGGATGAGAGGACAGAATGAGGAGTTATGGTTAATGGGCACAGTTCTGGTTTGGGAAGATGAGAAAGTCCTGGAGACGGATGATGGTGATGTTTGCACAACATTTAAAAATTGTTAAAATAGTAAAATTTTATGTTATGTGTATTCCACCACAATAAAAAAGGTCATATGCTGACAGACCAGAGACACCATCACCACCACACATGAAGCTGCCTGGTTCCCCTGAGCTGTCCCTGGCACAGACTTCCCTTCTTGGAGATGACACTGTCCCCATTTTCCAGGCGGGCAACTTCGAGTAACTGAACGCCCTCTTTGCAAACAGGATGGAGACTGCATGTGTTTTCTCTCTGGGGCAAGGCCAGATTAAGCAAAGAAAACAAAGCAGATTCCTCCCCTCCCCCCAGGAAAAACCCTGCCGGGTCAATAGCAGAACTAACAGGGCTGCCGTACACTTTCACTTCCCACTGGCTCATGTCCCCCAGCTTCTCTGGATGTCCAGCAAAGCCCAGACTTGGGGAGGCAGGTGCTGCCCTCTCAGCCTGCTCCGGGAGGACTTGTTTGCAGAGCTCCAGTAAACAAGGCACAGCCACGCCCGCTTCAGGAGGCAATGTCTGTAGCTCTGGTTCGGGAGGTGAAGGACCCACAGGAGGGACCCTGGGTGGCTACGAGGACCCTGAATCTCAGAGCCCTAGGTCTGCTGCCAGTGCACCTCTCGGCATGTCACTTCCCTGTCTGGCCCTTAATGTCCTCAATGTCGAAGTGAGAGAACTGGGCTCATGAAGGAAAGGTGAATGGGTTTATCTCATGAGCCACCCTCTATCAATAAGGGAGGCTCTAGGAAGGTTTCTCAAATGGCATTTGGGTTCAGCGAGACACCAGGATGAGCTGGTGATGTCCACCACTGGTGGGACAGGGGAGGGAGGTGACTGAACTCAAAGCCCATGTATTTGCCACCCCTGGAGGAGATCCTTGGAGAGCAACTCTTTGATGGGGTTCCATGAACCTTCATCCCAGATCTGGAACATACTCAGTGGCCTCCCTGACTGACACATGTCCATTCAACCTCCGCTCGCACACCTCCTTTCTCAGAGCTCACAAGCTCATCTGGCAGCCTATTCCTCCATGTACAGGAAGTAAAAATCTCTGCCCTCAACTCTTTCCCAGGGACCATGGCTCCAACTCTGGTACCATAGTGAAAAAAAAGCCAGTTCTTTGTTCTACTTTACCCCCTTGCTAGAGAAAACTAACTCCTTATCTTGGTTCCTGTTAAAGACTTTGTCCTTCCACTGTTTGCATGTGAGCAGGTTTCCAAAGGATGGTCTGTTCTAGAAACGTGAGGGGATGGGATGTCTGTGCTCCTCTCACAGTGTGTGGCCCTGACTACATTTCCCAGACTCTCTTGCAGCTAGGAGATGCCATGTGATGTGATCTGGCCAATAAAAACAGAAGTCTCCATAAAAGGGTAGAAATTATTCTCCATTCTCTCTCCCACTCCCAGCTTCTGCTAACTGGAATGTAGATGTGATCCCACTAACCAGAATACAGATGCAATAGCAGGAACTTTAACAGGTACTTGAACCATGAGTCAAGATGCTAAAAACAGTGAAGCAACAAAATAGAACCAGCATGGGTCTGTGCTCTGGCTGGTTTACTCAGTGGTTAGAGAGTCGGCCTGCAGACGAACAGATCTCAGGTTTGATTCCAGTCAAGGGCATGGACCTCGGTTGCAGATTTTATCCCTGGTCCCAGTCAGGGTGCGTGCCTTCTACTCACTAAAGATCAATGGAAAAAAAATATCCTCAGTGAGGATTAAAAAAAAAAACACAGACCAATCATACTTTGTCCTGATATGAGAGCCTATACCCTAGACTAGTGGTAGGCAATCTCATTAGTCAACAGAGCCAAGCATCAACAGTACAATGATTGAAATTTCTTTTGAGAGCCAAATTTTTTAAACTTAAATTTCTAATGCCGCTTCTTCAAAACAGACTTGCCCAGGCCGTGGTATTCTGTGGAAGAGCCACACTCCAGGGACCAAAGAGCTGCATGTGGCTCGTGAGTCGTAGTTTGCCAACCACGGCCCTAGACTTCCTTTATGTGAGAGAACAAACAAACTTCTACTGTTATTAAGTTGCTGTTTTTGTTTTTTGTTTTAATATTATATGAACACTGAACCTAAAAATGCAAGATAAATCAAGTCTAATTCCAGATACTGCAAGAGCTTGACCATCTTCACACAAAGCAGAGCACCCTGCCATCTGCAATTGGAAAGAAGGTAACCCCAGTTGCTAGGCACAGATGATTTCAACATACAGATCACAGCATGTCCTAATATCTGCCCCTAAGATATTCAGGGCCAACATTCTCAACTTTGATGTGTTCCTGCAAAATCAGTGCATGCACTGGTTATACCAGTGGATGAAAATACAACTGGCCACCATTTATCAAGCATCTACTATATGTCTCAAGTGCTCAGCTCAATTCTGCAGGAATTATTTTAGCCCAAGTTAGAAACAGCCCTATTACAGAGGAAGCCCAAAGACATGCAGCACATTGAGGCTAAAACCCAGGACTCCAGCCTTGAGGTTCTTTCCATTATTCTTCAGTGTCTCCTGGAGAGTCTCAGGAGGCTCAATGGACTGACCTTGGCTGCCCCTGGGAAGGGAGGAAAAGAGGAAGGGAGGAGTGGGGAGAGGATAAGTACAGGAAGGAGAGGGAGGTGACAAGGGGGAGAAATTCTCCCACTTCTGCAAACGGAGGTGTTTATAAAGAACTCGGGGCAGAGAGAAAGGCAAGGGGTGAAATCCAAGAGGGGCACATGTAAGAACATGAGGAATTGCAGCTGAAATGTTTTATTTCCTGCATTGGTGGTTATATTTACATATTATTTTATATACTGCTTTGAACAGCTGAAATCGTTCAGCATTTTAAAAGGAAAGGGAGAATATGCAGTTTATTTTACGTCAATTACATCTCAATAAATAGGGTGTCTTTTAATGCACCCAAAAAGAAAGAGAGAGGAGGGAGGAAACGGTTAAGGCCTCTGAGCACCATGGCTTCTCATCACAGCCCACGCTCCTCCCTGCCACAGGGAAAGCCAGTCATACTGACCACAGCAGCTCCATCCACGAAGCCACAAGTCTTCTGTGAAAAGGGCCACTTCACCTCCATGTTGTTGAAGTCTCCTTAGGTGAAATGACGTCTCAAAGCTTCCAAAATGAGTCACCCTCAAGCCTGACCACCCCAGAACCATGTTCCGCCCACCAGCAGTTTCAATAAAGACAAGTAGTGGCCATACACCCCGCTGCTTCCTCACAGTGGGACGCAGGACAGCCAGGCTGGCAGGGCCACGAGACAGACACCATCCTGGGCTTGTTCCCTGAGTGAAGGTGAGCAACCCCAATAAGAGGAGCCCCATAGGGAAGGTGCCTCGGGCACAGTGCCCTCTGCAGTTCCCTCCATGTGTGGGCCATGGATTCTCTGCCTCCCCACTGCGTCCCTCCCACGGAAGTATGGCTGGCACTGGACAGAAGGCTGGGATCACCCTTCTCCTGTGGCCTGATTCAGCTCTCTGCCTGAGAGCCTTACATTGCACCCTCTGGACAGAAACCAATTCTATGCAGAGAAGTATGTGGGATCTGCCTGGTCCGGGTGGGCTCTGGGTGACCATGGCAGCATGAGAGGGAGAGGTAAATAGGTGATAAATATCTCAGCGCGCGAAGAACAGCAGTTTTACTCCTATCACCCAACCTGACCTCTCCACAATCCTAGTCCCGAGGCCCAGGCCAGACAGGTAATGAACCTGATTACAATGGGCCAGATATAGCTGGGGTGAAGTGGAAAGCAGGTGCCCAGCCTAGAGGGGGCAGCCACTACCAGCTCCCACCCACGGCTGCCACGCAGGAATGGGGGCAGAGCCAGGAGCAAACTGGTACCCAGTCTGCCTCATTCCCCCTGCTGTAGAATGGCTATAGCAGTAAAGATACCTGCTCCTTAGAACTGTTCTGAGGATCAGAGGACAGACAGATATGTCACTTAGAAAGTGCCAGGCATACAGTAAGTGACACTGAGTGTTTGCTTTTGTTGTTATTATTAGAAAATGGAAATTCGGACTTTTTTTTAGGGGAACTCTCCCGATTTTTAAATTCAGACAACTTACTGAAGTATTTTTTTCAAAAACATCATGTAGGCCAAGGAAAATACATCGGCAGACTGGCCTTGGTCCGTGGGTCACTGCTTGTGACCTCTGCTCAGCATGTTCCCTGCTTCCCTCTAAGGCAAGCCCAAGTCCTACAGGCATCACAACCACCAGTTGGGCCTTGCAATCACCCCACTTCCAACGCCAGCTTCCAAGCCCATGAATCTCTTAATGGGAAATAAATGTTTAAATCAACCCCCACTCAACTCCCACACCAAAAGGACGAGAACTACTAATTCTTACCCACCACATCCAAATTGCCAGTTTTATTTCATAGCAAAGGGGGGGGGGGGGGAGACTTATTTAAGAAGAAGAAGAAGAAGAAGAAGAACAACAACAACAACAACAACAACAAGAAAAGGAAAGGAAAGGAAAGAAAAGAAAAGAAAAGAAAAGAAAAGAAAAGAAAAGAAAAGAAAAGAAAAGAAAAGAAAAAGAAAAAGAAAAGAAAAGAAAAGAAAAAGGAAAACCAACAAAGGCAAACTCGAAAATGTGCCGCTGTTGATTTGGGCAACAGCCCTGCCTGTCAGAGAGGAAAACAGCTCAGTTCTGAAACCCGTCCCAGACATGAAAATTATAGAGCAGCGTCGATGACATACCCCTGCCCTTTCTGTGTCATTCACTCATGAGGAATGCAATTAAATACCCCTCCCCCACAACAAACAAGAAAGACAGAAACGTCAGCGCTGTGGGAGCTGAAAGGGACTGACCTCAGAGAAGGACATGGGGGAGGCAAGGCCACAAGGCAGGGTGGTAGGGGGAGGTTAGGGCTCCCATATCCATGCCCACTGAACAGATCAGGACAGAGGGCACACACAGCACACGGGATGTAAGCCTGGCCCATTGGATGCAAGGGGCATGGTTGCCCTCACACCCTCACAGAAAGCAATTCAACAGACCAGCCCCTAACACCCACTGTGTGGCTGAGCTCAGGCAGGTTCAAAGGGACAAGAGAAGAACAGGACACACAGTCCGTCCTTGATGCCTCTCTCTCCAACCTTAGTAAAAGGTCATCAGATTTCATCTTCCCCTGCTTCCCAAGGCGCTCAATAAAACCCAAGCTCCTTGCTGGTGCTGTGGGACACTCATGGCCAGCCCCTGCTTCCCACCTCAGGGCCTTTGCACTTGCTGTACCCACTCCTGACATGTTCTTTCCCATTTCCCCACAGGACCAGCTCCTCATCAGTGTTGCCTCCTCTGAGAGGCCCTCCTTGACTGCTCTATCTAATGTATGCTCCCACCAGACTCTCTGCTGCTTCACCCCCATCCCATTTTCATCCTAGCACTTGTGTCACCTCTAAAGGGGCCCTGGTGATTGCTAGCTTGTTTACTGTCAACATCCCCTCCAGTTACCTCTAAGATTAGTCTGTGGCACAGAGTTAACCCTCGGGAGTATGGAATGGGTAAAAGAATTCACTATCTACACTAATCAGGGGAACCACAGACAGACAGGCCAAATCCTGTACTCCTGGGCAAACAGGTGCTGTCGGAAAAGCACAGAGGGTGGGCCCGAGGCTACACCATAAAGAATGCCAAAAATCAGCCAAAACCGGTTTGGCTCAGTGGTAGAGCATCGGTCTGTGGACTGAAGGGTCCCGGGTTCGATTCCGGTCAAGGGCATGTACATTGGTTGCGGGCACATCCCCGGCAGGGGGTGTGCAGGAGGCAGCTGGTCGATGTTTCTCTCCCATCGACGTTTCTAGCTCTCTATCCCTCTTCCTTCCTCTCTGTGGAAAATCAATAAAAAATATATTTAAAAAAAAAAAAGAATGCCAAAAATCAGAAGAGATTGTCTTAAGCACTCTGGTCCTGGGCCTTGTGGCTAGGCTTATTTCTTTCTTTCTTTCTTTCTTTTTTAATATATTTTATTGATTTTTTACAGAGAGGAAGAGAGAGGGATAGAGAGTTAGAAACATCGATGAGAGAGAATCATCGATCAGCTGCCTCCTGCACACCCCCTACCGGGGATGTGCCTGCAACCAATGTATTAATACATGCCCTTGACCAGAATCGAACCCGGACCTTTCAGTCCCCAAGGCTAGGCTTATTTCATGCATTCTTTCACTGTGTCCAGCCAGACCATAATCCTAGGCCATAAATAATACTGATCTCAACCTAGAGATGAGGAAACTGAGGCAGAGGTTACAGAACATGCCCCAAGTCACACATACACCTAGTAAATTTGAATGCAAGGAGTGAAATGCCAAAGATGACCTCTGAAGATGTACACATAAGTACATGTGTATGTGTGTAGAGTATTCCATGTATGCTTATATATGCATGTGTCCACCCATACGTATGTGTACTGTATACGTGTGTATATCTATATATGTACACATGTGTGTATATGTGTGTGTGTGTGTGCATATATGCATACCAGTCATTATGTTCCTTTTTCCTCTTCAAGAAAGGCTTTCTTTTTGTCCTGATCTTAGTCTAAGAGCTAACACCAAGAAGTTAGGAATTGTGTTTACTTACAAACTAGTAGGTCGACCTATGTGAAACCAATATTTACTTATTTTGACTTATAAAATCCCAGTTCCTTTCCTATGGTCCCATGTCTCAGCAGGCAGCGCCCTTTGTGCGGTGTCTTAACAGGCAGGTGGGTGGAAGGGAGAGCCCAGGCAAGACTGTCCGGGTGGCCGGCAGGCACTGCACCGCAGGTCCGGCCTTATCTTCAGCACTTTCTCCAGACACACCAAGGGGCAAAGAAAACGGCTCTGAGGTCAAATTTCTGAAACATCTGCCTCTGTGAACTGGCCTCTGTGTGCAGATGCCATAGCATACGGGACAGGAAACGGCAGGCGGTGGGTGAGTGGCCTGGCAGCCCAGCCTCTCAGCCAGCAGCCTGGCCGTGAAGAAAGCTCTGAACATCAGCCATCTCTCAAACCCGAACCCGCTGGCCCCCCTCCCTTCCCCGCATCCCACAGGACCCAGAGGTGGCCTGTCTGAACCATGGAAACAGCCGAGAGCAGAGGTGAAAGGTCGATTTATTTATCTAACGATTCTCAACATTTTTCTTTTTAAAAAAATTCTTTTCAAACTGAAACTTGACAAAAGTTATGCCTGATAAATCTGAAGGCTGTAGAGGAAGTGGTTTGTCCTTCCCCCTCCCCCACCCTACCCCCTTTCACGACTTCTACAAAAGATAACAGTCGGGCAGGTGAACTGTCAGGCCCAGCCAGGGCTCCCAAATGCTTTTCACCTGAGGATGGCTGTCTGCCAGTCTCTGGGCGGGGTTATGGGTACAGGCTCCCGGGGTTCCCTGTCCCACACCTGTCTGCTGGAGCTACACAGAGAAGGAGGAGCACAAAGAAAGCTCTGCCCCTCCCAGACCCTGCAAAGACTTCCAGGAAACTTGATTCAAATAAAGCCTCGACCTGGCAGCTCTTACACCCACAGCAGCCTGGGAGTTCAGCATAATCATCCCATTTTCCAGGTGTGACATCTAAGGGGGAAGAGGGTTACAATGTAAATAACATGCACAGTTTAATCTCAACAACTTGCCCAATATCACAGCTAGCGACTGGCAGACCTGAGCTTGGAAATATCATGCCACCTGCCCTAGGAAGCCCTTTCTGGTCCCTCCCACCCTGGGCTCGGTCAGGCCCCCTCCTATGTAATCCTGGTAACAGCAGCAGCAGCAATAGGAGTAATATCAATAATAAGCGCTCTCTCCTTTCCGTGGGCACCTCTCTGTGCTGGGCACAGAGCTAGCACTAGGCAGGCACTGGCTCACTGAATCCTTTCTCCCAATTCTAATGATGAGAAACAAGAGCTCAAAGAGGGTAGGCCACTTGCCCAGGTCACACAGCTGGCAAGTGGCAGACCCCAGGGGTTCTTTTCACCATGGAAGACTGACCCCAGCACTTCCAACACCAGAGAGTTCTCTCCACCCTCTTGGTCTAGACTCTTCTGGTCCAGAATGACCTCAAGGGCCAGCCCCTGCGAGTCTCTCCCCCAACACCACAGGTTGAGGGAGTCCATCTGCTCACGGACAATAAACTCAGCCCCACTCTGGTCACCAGCTCGGCCTTTCCCAGGTTCTCAGGCCTAAGAATGACCAAGAATTGGGGGGGGGAAACAAGGTGTTTTCAAGGCTGAGAAGGAAGGAACTAGCCAGGGGCGTTCCAGGGACTCAGCTACCATGTTCAAGTCCAAAGTCCTAAACCCAGCATGCAGGATAGCTCACCCGGGCCCACCCCCCTCAACACACTCCTGATGCAAATAGTGTTTCCCTCCCCACAAAGTGCCATACCTCCAGGCTCTGCCAATCCCCCACAGCCCAGAATACTGTTCCCTGCATTCTCCATCTGGCCCCAGTCCACCACTTCTCTCATCAGCAGCTTTCTCCTAGGGAACCCTGGTGCTTCATACAAGCTCCCCGTCACCTTGTTTATGTCAGTCACATGACACATCAGATCCAACCGTCCACAGCTCTCTCTCTTCTAGTTATCTCTGTATTCCCAACCCTTGGCACAATGCCTGGCACCCAGGAGGTGCTCTGTAAGTGCATGCTTCAGGCACAATGCCTAAACACTGAGCGAGAGCCCCCGACACGCCTGGAGGAGGCAGCACACAGGCACCTGGTCCATTTCCTCGCTGCATTCCCACCCTACCTTGTGCAGAAGGCTCCATACCAGAGGAAGCAGGGCAGGCCTGGGACAGGAAGCAAGGCCTGTGTGTGTCCTATTTACTTCTAGGACACAGACATCACCTGAGGGTGTGAGTGGGTGGGCAAGTAAGGGTACCAGCCCACTTTAGTTCATTTCAGACCCAGGAGCCAAGCTGACCCTGGGGAAAGGAGAAATTATGACTCTCCCCACCCCCAAGCCCCACCCAGCCTTTCCTTGTCATATCATCCTCCAGAGAGCCCCGAAGTACCCCCAGTTGTGTACATCAGAGTCTTGCTCACCTGGTCCCAGGCCCACAGGAGCAAAAAGGAAACACCAAGAAAGATAAAACACTAACTTCCTATTCTTCCCAGACCTGAGCCTGGGTAGAAATGGCTTTTTGAGGGGACAACATTCAAATCTTCCCACCTTCTCTCTAGGGTGAGGGGGGGCACCCATGCTGAGAGGTAGCATCCTTGTTGGGGGGCAGCGTTGTTGAGCTGCTGTGCAGTAAGCCCAGCTCGCATGTGCTTGCCCTGGCCCCCACCTCCCTGACAAGGCCGGGGTTGCCATGTGCCTCATTTGCAGGTGGACCCAAGGCCTGGCACTCATAGACATGGAGGGACTCACCTGGGCCCCATGGTGAGTGGCAAGGACAGGCCCAAGTCCAACAGTCACCCTCAGGCAAGGTCACATGGGCCAGGCAGCACCACACAACCCCACCAAACGCAACCTCACCAAGCCCGTTGCCTGACAAACTGGAAACATGTTCCATTAAAGAAACTCTCTGTGCCCACGAAGGTCCCTTTCCCTGTCCTGGGAGGACACATGTGGGGCTTCTGTCTCTGTTTAATTTCCTTTCTGTTCAGGTCATTTCAAATGGCTAACCAGAAGACTGGCCCCAAAGAGGCACAGGAAAAGGGAAGAGCCGGCCCTGCCACAGAACTGCTGGAACTGGCTGCGGACACTCGCCCTGACTTTCCCAGAGCTGGGTGAGGGAACAAGGGCCTCTTTCAGAGCCGGGCTCTTTTGTTCCCCTTCCCAGGGAGGAGACAATCTGACACAGGGAGGGGGTGCTGAACAAATTCAGTTCAGCCACAGAATCGGGGAAAGGATGCTGTGTGGAGTATACACACTCGACACCCTACTAGTCCCTCTCAAGTGAACCAACCCATTGGATGGGGCCTGTTTTGTCACTTTAAAACCTGCACAAGCAGCCTCATTACTCAGTGATTACAACAAGAGCAGCAAGCATTGAGCACTCTCGGTGTGCCAGGCACTGTGTTCCATGAGCAATGTCACTGTGAAGCCTCATCAGAACCCCAGGAAGCAGGCACACCACTATCTTTCGTATACAGACAAGAAAACTAAGGCTCACGTAGCTCAAGTTCATTGCTAAGATCACTGCTAGCAAGCAGCAGAATAGGAGTCAAACCCTGTAACTGCACATACATCCCTGGCCGCCAATTGACCAAGAAACAGCCAACTGGATTTCTTTCTATCTTCCTTCCTTCCTTCCTTCCTTCCTTCCTTCCTTCCTTCCTTTCTTTCTTTTTAATATAGAAAGAGAGAAACTTTAAAAAGAGAAAAGAAAAAGAAAGAAAAACATGTATTTTTCTTCATCACATTTATTACTACACTAAATTACCATGTACTTTGTGCAAGGGTGTCTCCCCACTGGAATGTAAGATCCTTCAGGGGAGGAACTCACCCCACAGCCCAGCCCCTCGCCAAGCCTCTGACACACATGATACCCTGTGCAAACGTCCGTGCAGTGAAACATGCACAGCCCTCTGCTGGGAGCAAACTGGACAGCTTCTCAGGGACAAGCCTCCGCTGCCGGACAGGCTCTGCCTCCCGCAGATGTAAGCGAGGCTAGGAGGGCAACTCACTGCGCCGGGTACTCTGCCCAATGTGCCCGCTCAGGCTGTGGCCAAAAGGGTCTAGTCCAAGAGGACCCCATGCTACTCACCCACCTCACTTGTTCATTTCACTCGTTCATTTATCCAGCCATTTCCTTATTCACTCATTCAACAAGTATTTAGTGAGTGCCAACCACTAACAGGCACTGTGCTGGGCAGCCCTCCCAGGACTTAGAAAGTCTAAGTAGAGGGCAGATAATAGGAAAGAAAACAGGCAAAGCAGGACACAGCAGCCACAGACGGGGACGGACACGTCCTGCACCCACAGGGACGCTTCCTGGAGGTAGTGAATATTCAGCTGGGAGGCCAAGACCAAGTAGCTCCTCCTCCCTCTACCCCGGTGCCTCACACAAAGAATTTTACATTTCTAAGTGAAGGTCCTTCTCACACTATCAAAGACTGTACGTGAACAACATAATGCCATGTGAATAGGGAAAACAGTGCATGCAAAGGAATGTCCTAGAAAATCTCGAGTGTTAACATTTTGGAAATTTTTCTTTTCTTCTTTTATGTGCATTTTCTAATTATTCTATGAGAAACCCGAGTTCCCAATGTAGTGGGCATGAGGGAGATGAACATCTTTGAAAATAAATGTCTACTCTTAGGTATATATCCAAAAGGACTGAAAGCAGGAACTCTAACAGATATTTGCCCTCAGGTTCATGGCAGCAGTAATCAAAGAGCCACAAGTTTCATAGAAACAACCCAGTGTCTCTGAACAGATGAATGGATAAACAAAATGTGGTCTACTCATACAATGGAATACTCTTCAGCCATAAAAAGGAATGAAGTTTTGATATATGCTGCAAGTGGGTGGACCTTGAAAACACTATGCTAGCTAAGTGACATAAGCCAGACATAGCAAGACAGTACTGTCTGATTCCACTTGCATGAGGTGCCTAGAATAGGCAAATTCACAGGGACAGAAAGGAGAATATAGGTAGCCAGGGGCTGGGGGAGTGGAGAAGGGGGGGCTAGTGTTTAATAGTACAGAGTTTATGTTGCGGATGACAAGTTTTGGGTATAGGCAGTGGGAATGGTAACACAATACTGTGAATGTACTTAATGCCAGTAAATCGTACAACTACATGTGGTTAAAATGGTAAATGTTATGTATATTTTACCACAACAAATAAAAAACATTCAGAATCTCCAATTCCTAAATAAATAAGTAGACTGTGGTACCACGTGGTACATAAAGTGAGAAAACCAGAAGCTTTCCTGGGGGAGGGATGATGACTGGGGCAGTCTCTCTCCCTGAGACTCAGATGATCTCAAAAGTCTCACCAGACCAGACGAGGATTCAGTGCCTGGATCTATTCTTTAGTCTCCTGACACGGAGCTGATTCTAGGATGATGCTGGCAGGTGTATTCCTCCAGCTTATTACACCAACTCGAAACACTCCTCTTCCAAGTAAACGGGCTATAAACAACTACTAGGAACAGCTCAGGCTCAGCCTGGCTACTCCTCTCATGATCTAAGTGGCCAGGGCCAAGCCACCCTCCACCTGGAGCTTTGGTTTTCTCACCTGTGAAATAGAGAGACTGATAGATTTAAAAAAAAAAAACAAAAACAAAAACAAAAAAAACCTACCTTCTCTGTACTCCCCTTCCTTTACATACTGGCCAGGGCTGTCGTGGAATGCCACATGGTATAGCGGCCAGAGCTGACAGCCTAGAGAAGACCACCCTAACCAGTGACCAGGGAGGCTGCTGAGCTGAAGAAACAGAACTCGCTAGGCCTTTCACTGTCATCCAACCAACACCTACTTCTTTTTCCTTAAGTGGAATCTTACAAGGGCTGGGACATAAAGAACACCCAGGAAGTCCCTTGAGATCACAGGAGAAGCGTGGGGCTTAGAACAAAGCACATGGGCTCAGGTCAGCCTGACCTGTGTGTGAATCACAGCCTATGGCCTGCAGCCATGTGATCCTAAAGCCAAGGGTCTGTCCCCAAACCAGTAACATGGGAGCACTACCTAGCCCAGGAGACTGTTGTGAGGATAAGATGAGACACATAAATCTCTGGCACCTAGTAGGTACTCAAGAAGTAGTAGATTCATTATTTCGCCCAACCTAGCCCTTGACAACACATCTTCAGGAAGGGGAAAAGCCTCCATGCTCACAGCACACTTTTAAAAACAAAGTTGAGAGTCACACACACACAAAACAACACAAATGCATCCCACCAAACTGCCAAAAGTGGTGGGAGTAATGAAGCAAACAAAAGGGCAAGTTCAACTCCTTTTTTTTGGCTTAAGAACACACAAATGCAAAATTCAGAGGCAAAGAAATGATTCCAACAAAATTCCATGTCTAAACTTGAAATGGTTCCATGGAACACTTTCTCTCTTGTCATTAAAATCATGCTTTATTCCAGGGCAGGTACAGAAGTGTACCTGGCAAATGTCAGAAGAGTCAAAGACAAGAAAGGAACTCATTTATTGGGCTCTTTTATATGCTACCACCCAAGGAAGACGCTCGGTTTCTTTAGCAATGCTGGTCAGCCTCCTTAAAGTCTTCTGTATCCAAGAGTAAGAAGGACCTCACACAGGACCTCTACTCACTTAACCTGATATGCCAGGCAAACACCAACCTCTTACAGCGCAAAGAATCCGTACTTCTGAGTCATATTCAAGGCAATCACATTCAAAATCCACCATGGCCTTATACAATATTCTTGGGACCATGTGTGTTTGTGTGTGTGTATTGACTATTCTTTAATCCTTGACCACAAGGGGTTTCTGTCTCACAGCTTTACATACAGCTCAGGGAGGTGAGGTGGCCCATGGTCACTTTGCGTGCTCGGCAGGGCTGAGCGCTGAGCCACCATCTGCAATGCGCCTGAGCTCTACCCACAGCGAGCCTGCAGTAATGCACTCTGTCTTATCAAAAAGTGAAGAACTGTTCTAAAATCTTAAAATAAACATTTTAGAAGCAAAAAGTGCCAACCTTGAAACTCCAGACTAGGATAAAAGAAAAAATATTTTACCATAACCAAGAAGACTAAACACAGCTCAACAAGCATTAGAAAATGCTACATGGGCAAATCCACTTGCCCGGCCAAAGGAGCCGAACTCTGAATAAAAACCTTGATCTTTCATACTTAATGAAACATTTTTTAATCATTTACGTGTTTATTTCCATGCAAAGTTCCATTTCCTGCTAGTAAAGTGTTACAGGGCCCCAGATTGGTTTATAACCTGTGAAGTTGGGGGAGGGTGGCATGAATCTATCCTTAGAATAGCAGATGTTGCATTTTTTGAGCCCGGCATCTTACCATTTGCCAGCAGAAGGGTCCACGGCTTTCATTAAATCAAAAGGAGTATGTCATTCTAAAAAAGTCTAAGACCCAGTGTCCTGGCACATCCATTTCGTAAAGAAAATTTTGTCACTTTGATTGTGACTGACAAACTGGTGCACTGACCAACTGCCCTGATATGAGAATGGAAACGAGACCAGGAATAAAAGAAAAAATAAATTGCTTCCCAAAGCAAGTCATGAGAAGCATAAACAAGCTAAAATTTAAGTGGATGAGACAATAAAGTTGTTAAAAAATGTATATTTTTCAACTTCGAAAAGATAATAATACAATTTAGTAGGCCTCTAAGCAGGAAAGAGAAAGAAAACCAGCATTTCTTGGATTAGGCCTTGTCTTCTTCATGAGGACTGCAAGCTCCCTGAGGATGCCTTGTCTACAAAGCTTCTCCACCACATGCCAGGCTAGTGGCCCACCAAACCTGGATCAGTATCTGCTGGATGCTGAATAAACACTCCATGCCATTGATTCCTCATAATCCAGGGATGTACATATTATAAGTTTCAGTTTCACAGACCAGATTCCAATAAGTCAGGTGACTAGCCTGAAGTTACAACCTGTAAGAGGCAGATCTGCGATTTAAACCCAGATTCATGCACTACTATGTTAAACCCAGGAGGCCCCCTAAACCACTCTTTATTTAGACACCAGACTTTTAACCCAAAGTCATCTCTCAACAGAGAACGCCCTGGTGTGGAGCAGGCTCCACAACCCCACTGGCTCCCTTGAGAGTCATTTAACTGCTCATAGTCTCAGTTTCCTCCTAATCTACACATGGGGGAGAAGTGTTACATGCCAACAACGATTGATTAGCAGTGCCTGTCTCCAGCTCACAGGGAAGGATTGATTATGCCAGGGTTGATTAGTAATGTCTACTCTGGGTAAAGCAATTAGGAGTGGCAGCACCTATGTCATGTATTTGCCATCCCAGAACTAGATGACCTGCAGGTTCTTTTCCAATTCTACCAGCCTCTGATTCTAATTATAAAAATTTTAAAGGGGGAGGGATGGAAAAAGGAAAGAACATACTAACATTTTCCAATACTGGCCATAGCTGCATTCAGCAAAGCCAAACCTGGCCGCACAGCCAGTCCTACATGCACACAACACAACCCTGCCACATGGGAGGAAGTAGACTCTGGAAAACATCAGATCCGCTGCCTGCGCACACAATACGACACCCGTCCAAGCCAGTGGCAGAAAAAGTGTGAGTTTTGTCTGCCTTGGCCTAGGTTGTAAAACACCTCATCAGGAAGTACAGTAAGCTCCCAGGGAGCCCCATCAGGGTTCAGACCCTGGCCTGACCACTCGGCCATCCTGGGCCTTAGGCAAATTACTCCACCTCAGTAAGCCTCAGTTTCCTCATCTTAGAAAATCTTCCTAGAATTGTTCTAATAATTAAACCTAGTAGTTATCAAAGTTCTTAACAAAACAAGCACATAGTAAGTGAGCAAATAAAGGGCCACTGCTACCATCATTGTCGTCATTGTCATCATCACATGTCTTTCAAGGGGATATATTTTCAGAAAAGAGTTCAAGTGCAAGAGATTAATTTATGTTTCCCACGTTTAGCATCACGGCCCATTTGATTACTATAAACTCTAAAAGAGACTCTGAAAATAATTTCATCCTGAAGCTCCTGGTGTATCAGCCAGGGCCCTGGGAAAAAACAGATGGCAGACACAAAATGGTGTCATTTGAAGAAATTGTAACAAAAGGACAACATAACAAGATGTGGGTAGAGCA